GCATTTTTTACTCCATTTTTAGACAGTTAACGTCATTAATTAGTTTTATAATTAATTAGAAAAATAAATAAATAAATAATTTTTCTGTATTTTTCTTCTAAATATCATACTTACAATACAGGATCTGTGCCGAACACATCTGAAATATATTGATAAAAAAAAAAGAATAATCATGAAGTGATTAAAGTGGTCGCATCTCGCAGAACACGGTTGGTTACTTGTAACTAGATATTGCTTAAAACTGCATAAATTTCCACTATCGGTATTTTTTATAAAGTTACTTTTAATGTAATCGTAACCGTTCGTGTTCTGGAAACACGTAATTAATTCCTACCATCAACAACATTCTCAAAGAGGGGGGTAGAGCAAAGAAATCTGAATGTTAAAATGGTCATTTAAATCATTTATGGTAATTACTGTCCTCGACAGCGGACATTTTTCACCAACAGAACAGCCAAAAAAAAAACATTTTTTTTTTTAAATGTGCCGCCGAATAATTATAGCGAATGCCTCCAACTAACTTGTTAGATTTATAATAATATCGGTTTTCCGCATAAAAATGGCTGCTATTGCTTGTCTATAAATTACACAACCATTGCTTTCCTTAAAAGAAATAATAATTTGAAAGTATTGTTTTCTAAATTAAATCGGGGAATCTTTAATTAAAGGTGAAGATTTATGAGAAACAGAAATGCGCCAAAACTCGGCTACAGTCGTGGGTTCGTGTGGAGTTTTTCTGGTTTTCTTCACGTGTCTAACACCTAAATAGGAGCCAACTTCCCGTAGAAAGTCCTCCCGAGGCACTCCACCCCCCATTTGGCAGATCGCCTTATAACATCAATCCTAGTTTCATATACTCAAGTGTACTTGGAACACTGGTTAACTGACTTTCGGTCCATCTTATATTTGTCTCGTGTTGTGAAGGAAAACTATTTATAATTTCACTTTTTGTTGTAGAACTTACAAAGAAATATTAATTTCCCTTCATTTTTCTTCAATAACCTCTAAATGGACGAATGTAAGAGAAGTGAGGCTTGGGTTTGAGCGAGTCACAATTGTAACCGCTATCCTCCGAAAGCCATAAAAAATATATATGAATTTGGAATACTTCGCCTAAATTCTGAAATTATAGAAAAATTTTCTTAAAAATATTCTTAAATGATAGACATATACAAGATTAATATGAAATAAATCTCAATATTTGGATTAGAATTTCGCATTCGATGAGGATGCCGCCATATTTGTTCTTTTTTAAAAATAGATTTTCACAGTTGCTATTACACAATGCATGTTTCCTCGTGTATTTTTTTGCAATTTAATGCGACAATTGAACATTTTTTAAACATAAAATAACATAACGTAGGCAATTTACAGCAAATAGAATAGTAACATCCGGACTAAATATGGCGGATTTGCGATTGAAATGCGGTTCTAATTTAATGACACTATCGATGTCTTAAAATATAAATTTCTAACAGCCGAAGCCAAGTAATGAGTACAATATTTATTAAATATTATAAAGCAAATTGTAATCGAGTCGAAAATTCGAATATCATTCACTTTATTAAAATAACGATGTACAATTGACAGTTTATCACGTAATACTTCCTCACTCACGATCCTACGAAGTATGAAACTGCACGTTGCCCTCTTGCGGCTACTTCAGGCATTTTTATAAAAATTCATATTTATTGCTAAAAATATATTGACAAAGCTTTATTTGCATTGTTTATTTTTAAAAATAAATTATTCTCATTAGCATTAATTTTATATATAAATTTTCGTAATTAAATAAATAAATTACGTTTTAAAATGCTAATTTGCTGAAGATGCCATCTAGTGTCGCAAAAATCAAACACTTTTCATTAGAAATTATATTCATGTATTATGATCGAAGGCCTACAGAGGTCAGGGCAGTCGATTTGTTTGACTGCCCGAAATAGCGTTAAATTAATTAGGCGCAATGAAAGTGTAAATACAACTACATGAAAACTAATAAGACAAATAAATCTCGTTTTTCATCGAATATTTTATTAAAAATATCTGAACATCAATTTAATATTTTTAAAAATAAATCTTTTAATTAATGACGAACCTTATCACAGTTGTCATACTTGTTTTTTACTCCATTACTTTATTGTGTCATAAATTGCAAGATATAAATTTAAAAGATTTTCATATTTAAAAATTATCATCGTTAATTGATGAAGTTTTAATACATTTTTTTCGGGCGATCTCGTAGGACACGGGCTTAAGAGTTATTCAAGTTTGCACGAACCTCTCGTTTCCAATGAGGTGAAGTTCTATCCAACTGAAGGATGATTTCATTACTTAGCAAATCCTCATGTACAGTTTCAGTCGTGAAAAACCTATATTGTGAAGGATTTCAGACATCTCGAGGCACGAAATCCTTAACCAGGATATGTTTTGCTGAAGCGCAGTGCTGAAGCTTCCTTGGCAGCGACTCAGGTTGACAAATTGCTGAAACACGTTTTGCCAATGGCTTGACCGATTTGAACGTAATTTTGCACATTAATATAAGTAACAAAACGCCGTGTCATAACATAGGTCGAATTTTGAAATTTGGCCTAAAACGGGAGATATCGGAGGTCAAAGATGGTCCCCATGTTAAGTGAATGGAAAAATTTTGCATTGTAAATAGTATACGTTGCAAAGTATAATATGTCAATGTATTATACCTTGCACAACATTTATTATGTAAGTTAAGGAAGTTTTAGAACAAAGGTAAGAATTAGCTGCTTATGCAGAGTGACAAATCGCATTAATTTAGCGCCCCATAATGATGTAACGTTCACAAATAAGAAATGACAAAGTTGACATATGGATCTGATCTTTCATCTGTTTTTTTAAACGTTTTTTACACTATCTTTAACACAAACACTTTTATTGTTTTACTTTTCTTCTTTGTTATTCTTTCCCTTTCACTCGGTTGTAGAATTTACTGTAATATAATTTACAAAGTCGCCTAAGCTCTACTTGTTTCTCGTAACCAGGTGATCCACACCATTCCTCTGCGCTTATTTGTACTCAATTACATAAAAATAGATAATGTATTGTTTATTGACTGACGTTTAGTATGTGTCATATAGCGTATACTACGGGTCGTCACTACGGTATATATATTGTGAATACAACCAATAACAGTAAGTGTTACATTAGACAACGATCGCAGGCATTAAAATAGTATTAATTAATTTCTCATGAAATATTTTATCAGCGTGTAAAAAATGGAACCTGCAATTTTCATTTTTATACATTACACGCAACACAGGATAAAACAATGGTCTGTTGTTAATCAACCAATTAAGCGTCAGATTTTTTCGATTAGAAGACAATTAATTAAAAAATATTTTGCGCCTTGTTTCATTTTATATTTCAAATTACAAACAATTGAGAGGATGCGGCCGAAGTTTTCATCTCTCAAACGTGAACGTCGAACGCCGCAAACTTGTAAAGCGGTGCTCGACGTTCGACGTTCGCGTTTGAGAGATGAAAACTTCGGCCGCAGCCTCTCTAAAATGTTTTTAAAATTAATAAATATGGTCATTTTTAAATATAAATTGATTAATTTTCATAAAAATACAATCTCGTTTACTGTACTTACCGATGTGTTTACACAGCTTTAGAATACTGTATATGAAGCAAGCTTAACCTTTAACGAATCTGATCCGTGTATTGTAAAGGATTAGGTTAAGATCGCTCCTAATTATTACTATTTTTTTTTAAAATAAGAAACGTCATTAAGATAGATTAATTAATAAAGCGTTATATAGAAAACTTGCAGACTTAAACATATTTTAAACGATCACTTTCTTATACGAATACACTAATTCATTATTTATAACTCCAGAAAACAAGCATAAACATTAATATAACGATAGTTACGAGAAAAATGTAAAAATAATAACGATTATATTAAGGATTTACAAATGGAGTTAATCGATTTGGCCTGTGAATGGCTCAATTAAATATTACTTACTTACTTGTGGCTAATTACAGTTATAAAAGCAACGTTTTAGTTTACGTATAGGAATCATGTGATTTCGATGATGGAAGCGATTTTCTCTCGTCACGCGGGCGCCTTTCTTCGTCACACAAGTACGTGGCAGCATGAAAAATACCGGTATATGCAAATTTTTTAATGAGAATTTGAGTGTCGCGGCCACGTTCTCTAAACAGACGAATTTAATGCGGGATTTTTTGTTGTTTCAGCTTTATTTTTTACCATAAAAGAGTCCGAAATTGGCCCACGAGATCATTTTATTCGTCGGTAAATTGTGGAAATACGGTAAAACCTGTATAAATTGGAATAGCACGATATCGAGGAATTTTTTTTCCGTTTAGGTAGATTTTACTGTATTATACAATATTTAATATTTATATATATATTATATATATGAAATATATTATTTGAAAGTTTCAAAAATGTGTAAACAAAGCTTCATACTCTCATAATTTAGGACAATGTAATTATAATAAATGATTTAGACACGATATGTACTGTAGTAGACTTATCAGTTCACGCCCTTTACATATGAGAAAATTTAGTTTTGAGGGTTCTATCTCCCTTGTAAAGGGAGATAGAACCCTCAAAATTTTCTCGTATGATTTTAAGAAAGTATTAATAAGACCATTAATGGGGCACAAGAGCCCCACTAATATCCAATAAGAAGGCCCTAAATCCGCTAATGCATATGCAACGCGCCCCAGAAAGGTTTTGACAGATTTATATCCCCGTTCCTGATAGCTATGCCTTTGTACTTCAAAGTTCAGAGGTTAAATTATCAAAATAGTAATCGATTTACATACAGTCCGTCCTCGTTATAACGTATACGGCGGAGATGCGGGTATTGTATCAATACTTGCAGGGGCGGATCTAGGTTTTTCGGAGCCTAGGGCTTATTGAAGTCGAATGGTGCCTAATATTTGATTCACTATCTCCATTATTGTTTAAATGAAAGAGACGATTATACATAACATTACTAAACATTATGTATTTATTCATCAGCAAACATAAAAAGCATTAGATACATATAAGTGTTAATGGATTCTTGTTTTTTTTTCGTTTTATACATCTTCTAAATACAAACAATTCAACAAAATAGCACTCTTTTTTTATCAATGTTGTTTTTGTATATCTCGTAAATTATTATTATTTTTTTTAATCATCTTCACGCGCGAATCCTCATGCACACGTATGAATCACAAGTTGGCTCCTTCACCTTATTTGCCAAAGACAAAAGAAAAAAAAAATATATATATATATAATATGTATGTATATATAAATGTATTTTCCTCCCTGGCATCGGGGTAAAACTAAAACAGGAATGTCAATATACCAAATAAATTCAAAATAAATTTTCGGGTATCGGCCACAGAACATATTAACAAAAGAAACACAGTTTGACGTTTATAACGGAGTTGATAATTAAAAAATAATCATGTTGAAGCATGTTTAAGGTATTCCCAACTGTTCATTTTTTTATGTTAAATGCACACGCACACACATACACGCACACCGAGGCACATCTGGACACGAATTTTTTGATTTTTTTCTGGTATTTTTGATGCATAAACCCAACCTCTATCGATATGTCGGAACGAGATTTTTTTGCCACCCATCGGAAAAAAAAATTAATATTGTATTGTTTATTTTTAGTTTCTGTGTATTTTTTTTGAGCTTCCTGTTGTAAAATCGAGAGGTTTAAACGAATGAGATTCGGAAACAAAGCGATTTAAAAGCGAAAGACGAGTCAACCCGTTGACTGGAATGTTAATGGCGACACTTCCACCGATCACGTGATTATTATTATTTGTTTTGTTTTTTAGTTATTTTAAACACTATGGCTTGCTTCTTCCGCGTCCGCTCTCGGACCTGGCCGACGGAATCCGGGACGGGGTACCGGAACCTTTGAAGGCCGGCATTTGCGAGGAACTACTACTGCTGGGTGTACGCTGTCTGGACGATTTCTTCCTGGTATCCAGACTTTCGGCCGACAAGTCGCTACCCGCACGACTGGGTGGCCGACTGGATGGCCGACTGGATGGCCGACTGGACGGTCTGCTACCTGTATAAATCGTTAGTGTCAAAGATGGCTGCGAGAGGGAGTTGTATTCGCTCCTCGGAATGGCCTAAACTCCTTACGTCACATTTCCCTCCCCCCTCCGGGAATCTGGCAGCCATGTCGGATGGACGTAGAGGCGTTTAAGCTATCCCGGATGAACGAATTTGGTGCAAAGATTCGAACTCGGACTTACCTCCTGCTGTGCGTGCGATGGTCGGTGGAGTGAGGTGAAATGACCTATTGGTACCGTAGCTGTCTGTTTCACTGAAACTGGGGCCGCTGATGTCGCTGCTGGTGTCGCCCGGGCCTGAAGCACGTTGCTGCCACATTGGTGAGCTGCGTTCGCTCCTCTCGCGCACCTGAAATGCATACGTGCAATTCAAATCGTTAGATTTTCTTCAATTATTAAAAAAAAAACGCGAATTTAACATTTTAAATTTCGTGAAAATTAATTCTACAACGTTTAATTGCTGAAAATTGTTAAATTTTACGCGATTCACAGACACCTTACCGAAGAACTATGAAGAAATGATCCTTTATCAGTAAAATAATGCTATTTTTAACGTCTATAATAATATTAAAGTTATTTTCTAGTGAATACTTCAGAAATTTTCAATAAATTTGACTGGGCTGGTGTGTTTAATGCGGTGTTGACATATATTACAATTACTCCTAGAGTTGAGAGAAGAAGGAATTTGACGGAAAATCAGGTTTTGAATTCAAATATTCATAATATAAATGGGAAAATGTTATTAATGGAAAACATTTTCCCATTAGTAACTGGCGAAAGAGTGAATGAGTTTCAAATTATTGAAGATAATGTAAATCGTTTATCAATAAAATAATATTAGCTGGGATATTCAAGATAAATCTAAATTCAATTTCGCTATGATGTTTCTTGTACAGCCCATATGACATATTCAAATTTATCAAGGAAACTATATAAATTTATAAACAGAAATAGGCCAGAAATACATTTTTTTTAAATTAAATACCTATTTTTTTTTTTTAAATATGAATAATAAATGAATTCAGTAATGAACTGAAGTATAGAGAATTATTATCTATTGGAAATTATAATGCTAGAATCTATTTTTCTATCCATACAGTTCTAGAATCTGAATTTATTTTCATTTCATTTACAGTAATGCATTCTAAATCTGACAAATCAGAAGATTCTTCAGTTAGGAAAGAAAACATTTGAAAACACTTTGTTTTTTTAATTGTTTCTGTTATTACAGAGTCTTTTCTTGTGTCTATTATGGGGTCGGCCGAGCTACTAGAGAAAATTTCTGCAGATGTAACCGCGATTCAAACCCGGGTCCCTCGGAGTGTCGCCCGTCGTGTAAGATAATTTTTAATTGGTAGTGTTTGATATGTATTGTGTATTAAATGTTATACTGATAAGTGTTATAAGATTAGTTAAAAAGTTAAAAGTCAAATATTAGTAAAATTATCAGCTGAAAATTAGTTATAAGTAAATAAGCTTTAAGATTTATTATTAAAAACTTTAATACAGAATTTATTCAATATTAATTGCATTAAGTACTTTAATTAAATTTAAATATTATTAGAAAGTTAATCACCTTTCTAAAATTTTATCATCATTCCAAATTTATATTTTATAATTTTAATATGTAATAATTCTATCAATTTTATTGTTAAGTAAGAACATATTTTCATCATATAATATGAAAAAATTTGCTACTTAATACTTTTTTTTTGTCTTATTGCCATAATAACAAATTAATAGCTATTAAAATTTTACATATACACAAAATATTTCATTAGAAAGGCGATTAATATAATATTAAATTTAAATTAAGCCAGGACATAGCTCCCTAGGAGACGTTACCTAGGGTTATAAACCCGGCTAGATGGAAGGAAGTGAGTCAGCAAACGTCTGAGTGGCTGGGATCTCTCTGGAGTAGAATCTTGATTGATCGCTTTTGCCAAACAGGATACCTTTAGTTCCATTAGCATACAAGGAACTGTAGGAAGGGTACAGCAAAAGAATAGTACAGGGTGCTATCTTGGGAACAGTTGCCAACAAGTGGCAATATAAAACAAAAGATGTGTGTTAAGAAGGACATTATTTCTAAAATGTGCAACTATGTTAAAATATAACATGCAGGTATATTAAAATTATTCAATGCACAATATAAGAAATAAATATTTTAGAGAAGATATAAGCCTAGTTACATAAATTAATACCGATTACATATACAGTAACTGGATGAAAAAATGAATATATTAATACATCCGGTACAAAGATGCATGCTTTAGAATATTAGGCATATAGTAGTTTATAGGAAGTATATCACAAACATTTAAATGATTATTTTAATTATGAGATTCGGTGCAGTCAAGCAGTCGGGCTCATAAATATATGGAGCTGCCAAAAAGATCCCAGACGCCCAGTATTCTTTCTAAAGATTTATTAAAGAAAAGCTTTATTATTACCCATCGGAAGACAGGAATTCTTGAGCCCCCGTCTGACGGCACCGGCCTATAGTACATCGGCCCCAAACCTTTCACCGGTATACATCTCATTAGCATAAAAGGGGCTGAAAGTGAATAAGGATGAAGTGGTAGGTTTAAGGTAAGAATGATGATGCAAAATTTTAAACATAAGAAGGAAGAAGCAAAACTGTCAAAGCATTAGTTTGATTGTTTAAAATGATATTAAGGATTTTAAAAAATTTATATGAAACAACAACTAGAT